ACCTTACAATATAAAGCTCCTTGAGGCGACTGTTGTTGTGATTTGGCGCTTTATAAATAAGATTGAATTGAAAAATTGAAACTGAATATTTAAAATATTTGGTTGTAAGGCAGAGGTCTGACAGTGATGGGGGGTAAAGTTAATTCTGTTTTCTAAGGCGCTGTCTTGCTGTAGTCATTTTCTGACCGTCTCCACTGTCTCAGTTTTGGGACTGCAAGTGAAGCGTGAGACCACAACAAAGGGCTCTATGGTTTCTGGATCCAGTGTAAATGTCTGAGTTTCTGATTTGGTCTTTGAACTGAAGAAGCTTCTCGGATGAAACGGCATCAAACTCGTCTCTGAAACTCGTCGATAACCATGACCTGTAAGGCTGGGAATCCAGTGGAGTTGAGTCCCAGAACATAAACATGCACAGCATACCATTGTAGGTTTCATTTAAATATATACATATTTATGTCTAATATCTGTTACAATTGCCTGTTGTACTCTGCTGTATTGAGTAGCTAAATGTCAAAATATCAAAACTGAACTAAAATAGTTTTGCTCAATATGTACGAGAGGTTTAAAGACGACTTAGTGTTGTGGCACGCCATCAATTATTAGTCTTCAGAGGTGCCTGTAGGCAGACAGAGTGCGCTTCCAGTCTTTGTGCTAAAATAAACTAATCAGCTGCTGGCTGCTTCATATTTACTCTACAGAAACGAAAGTGAACATCAATCTAGTTCGTACATATTTTCTCCAAATGCCGAACCATCTAATCGCTGTGGCAACATAGCTGAAGCTCTATATCTTCTGACAGTGTTAATGACAGATAAATCTGTAACATGTGTTTGTGGCTCAGTGCTGCTCGAAATGATGGGAACGGCAGTTTCTTTCACTCAGCTGATGGCTTCTGAGTCAGTACAGAGCAACTCTCCTCTGTCACTGTGGTCTCGTTGTCACACAAGAGCGTGGCTGTGGAAAACCGCTGCAGAAGACTTCCACTTTCTTTAAAACCTCCCGTGCGCTCGCGCACACACAGCTTCAGGGTTAGCAGACCCACGCTTTCATCTCATCTGTCTTTGGGCTCTTCCACTTCCCGTGAAGATTTTTTGGGAGTGGGACAGAGTTGAGAGCTCGAGCTTTTCATGGCGTCTTTCCTTTCAAAACAAAAGATTATTCAATTAATGTGTGTAATACACATTTTCCCCTTTGCTGACCCTGGGAGAGGAGATCAAAGACAGCTTTGTCTTTTATAGGGAAGTGGAGCTGAAGTCTGATGGAGACCAACTCTCAGGTTTTAGTAAAGGGTTACTCACGGGCCATAAGACTGGAGCAGAGATCTAAGCATTCCAGTGGACAGAGTAGCTGCTGTAAAACTCATTACCCACCCCTTCTTTTAGATGTAGGGGAATGATGATGTGCAGGGATGTTACATCATCATAACTTAAAACATAGTATTTTTTTAGCAGCACTTTCAACGTCTTTTGTAAATAACAGTCTATGTGACAAGCGCAACGAATGGCTGCATCAAATCTTTATTTTCATTTCCTACTAATGTGGCGACTGCTGCGCTGTATATTCTGTATCAATCTGTTGTTTAAGGCGGCCGCCCCCAACCAATTTTGTGCCACGGACCAAGGTTATTATCGTTAACGAAAACTAACGAAATAACGAAAACTAGAAGTGAAAAAACATTTTCGTTAACGGAAATAAAAATAAAAACAAAAAAAGGAAAACTAACTAAAACT